AACCACAGGAAGTTTACCTGGATCCAGAGGGCAATGGAAGCCACTGGAAATCTGTGAGCCAGCAACGGCCAACTTGGATTTCTGCTTCAGACCAGTGTCTCTGGTCTTGAACAAGAGTCACCACAAACTAGATACTGGTGATTCTCTGAACTATTCCCCATCCTCAGCAAAATAAATAAAAGCACTAGAAAAGACTGTCACAACTGTCCTCTACGGTTTTGTGGGGATTTTTTTTTTTAATCAAATACAAAGAGATTATATGAAACATATAGAAGAAATCTAAGAATAGCCTCTTTAAGAAGACTGGATTTGTGTATGATTAGACCTAACTGTGAGGTCATACTTTTCTCAGAGTTGTGTCTAAAGTTGGGTGTTACCATAAGAATCTAAGAAAAAAAGTTTTAAAGCAGGAAAAAAAAAAAATGACACACACTACACCTTTTTATAAGGGCAATGTTGATCTGATAGCTTCATAGAGTCTGCCAAAACACAGTCTTAAAAAATGGAAAATAATGTATTAGGCTTCCAGAACAAATAATCCAAAATCCACAATATTAACTATACGGTGGCTTTTACTGGTTAATGAAATCATTACACTGTTGATGTTTAAAATAGCCAGGTTTTCTAATCATGCCGTACTAACATGTTTTTCTACTATAACTTCAAAATGCCTTTGTATTTCCCTAAACTTCTATAATGAAAGACTAATTTTATAGATAGAAAAAGACAACTAAATTCTAGTGATTTAACATAGGCATTTATTTTCTAACCAAACACATGGCTAAGGCCTGAAGTGGTATAGAAAACACACCTTAGAGAACTAGAGAACTAGCCACGCCAAGTATGAGACCCTGCTTATACCCTGAGAAACTAGTCCAGAACTTACAAGCCATTCAATTACTGCCCACAATTGCATTTCCTCATCTTCTCAGAGACCGCGACCCCTGGACACATCTCACTACACTGAGTCAGATAGTCTCCGATTACACTTTAACTCACAGGACAAGCCAGATAGACTTAGCCTAACATCTAAAAGCTACTCAACAGCGTGACTGAGCATTTGTTGTTTATTTTCTCCACTCCAAAGGAGAAATTATGATCGATAATAAGCAGTCTGGTTCCACTGCTGATTTACTGGGAGAAATCAGATAATCACTCAAAACATTCCATTCCACCTCTAAGCCAAAGAAAACACACCGGGGGCAAGTGGTAACACCAGACACTTGTAGACATGGATGAAGGGCCTCGTACAGTTGGTTCTTCCCCACAGATGATGTTTACCTCTATCATACAAAGGCGGAGAACCCAGACCCATGAAACCAGTCCTTTACTAAATGGGTAGCTGGACCAGAGTAAACGCCTACATACCAAAAGAGACAGAAAAGACCACTGGTTAAGAACTTCTACTGGCCTTTGGACTTGGCTTAAAAAAAGAGGGCACAATAATGAGATATTACTACACACCTAGTAGAATGGGCAAAATCCAAAACAGACAACATCAAATGCTAGCAAGGACGTGGAGCAACAGGAGCTCTCATTCATTGCTGGTGGGAACGCAAAATGCTACAGCCACTTCAAAAAGACTGGCAGTTTCTCAACAAAATAAACACACTCTCACCATACCATCCAGTAATTGTGCTCCTTAGTATTTACCCAAATGAGCTGAAACCTCTGTCCACCCAAAAACTTGTACACAGATGTTTACTGCAGCTTTATTAATAATTGCCAAAACTTGGAAGCAACCAAGTCCTTCAGTAGGTAAATGGATAAGTAAGCTGTGGTACAGCCAAACAATGGAATATTATTCAACACTAAAAAGAAATGAGCTATCAAGCCATGAAAAAACATGGAGGAAACTTAAATGCGTATTACTAAGTGAAAGAAGTCAATGTGAAAAGGCTACAGACTGTATGATTCCAACTATATGACTTTCTGGAAAAGACAAAACTATGGAGACAGTAAAAAGATCAGTGGTGGCCAGGAGTTAGGGACAGATGAAAAATCAGAGCACAGGGGATTTTTAGGGCACTGGATCTGCTCTATATACTATTATGGTGCTACATGTCATTTTACACTTGCCCAGACCCATAGAATGTACAACACCAAGAGTGAACCCTAATGTAAACTACAGACTTGGGGTGATTAAGATGTTTCAATGTTGGGTCATTGATTGTAACAAATGTACCACTCAGATGGGGGATGTTGATAATGGAGGATGGGAGGAAGGGCAGGGAATATTGGGGAAATCTCTGCACCTTCTGCTTAAATTTTCTGCAAACCTAAAACTACTCTAAAAAAGTTTTAATAAAAGCACACTGCTCTCTTCCCAGGGTGTAGCTGATTAGCAAGGTAACTTCCTGAATACGTTCAAGGAAAATGAAAGACATCCATAATCGCCTTTTGTGTTCAAAACATGAAAGTTAATATCACAATTAGAGGAACTAGTGAGAGCCATGAAGGCAAGTACTAATAGGATTCTGGTACCATCTTCCCTTCAAATAAACTCGATAGTGAAAAATCTAGCAAAGCCTTCACTTAATTGAATATCTACACCTTGTCAAACACTTCCTGGGCAGCTACCAGCAAGGGCTATATTTCAGTTAGAGTTGTCAGGGGCTGTGCAGCTTAACCTTGACATAGACTATGACAGTGCTGTTCAATGGAATCCTTACATCCACAGACCCAGTTCATGTGTTCGCACACATTTCTTCTCGCAAATTACACACCCTAGAGGTCAAACCCACCAAACACAATCTTCGTCCTAGGTCAGTTAACTCTAACAAAACTCTCAAAAGCTGAAAGGAATCTCTCCTCTGCATTTGCCTTAGTAACACCTGCCAAGTACTAGGGAACTCAGGAAACCACAAGCACTTTATTTGTTTCCCTGATTATATTAATCAGAGATTAAAGAAGCATGGAGAAATTTCTGGTACGTATAGGCTGTCATCTAAAACAATTTTAAAATTTGACTCAGTGAGGCCACAGACAGAACATTTCACAAGGCGTATTTGGTGAAATGTCAGTTTTAGTTGAGGGAAGTGCCAAGGAAGCCACCACCTCGCACGCTCTTCTCGCCAAGTATTCAGAGGCCTCTGATCTTATACACCAGGAACGAATGTGTTTGTCCATGCAAAGCCAACGTGTGGTGTACAATTTACAGACCTACTTTTTAATATGGCCAGGTGTCAAACAGATAACCCTTTCCTAGTCTCTCCACCGCCCCCCATCCTCCCTCCCAAACAAAAACAGCCTGAATTGCTCACAGTACACAAGAAGCCAGAGATTCTGTTTCGTGTAAGTGTTGCTGCTTTTGGTGGTTCACATTCTCCAAGAGACCAACGAACCCTCTCATTTACTAACTCCAACCTTAACTAAATTGCTTCCACCAGCTTCCCCCTCTTCTCAAACCCCCACTCACCGTAGACATCTCTCTCAGCCAAAAAAGCTACTCAAGAGGCTTGGAAGTGGCTGCCTCTGCAAATTCCTCCCCCTTCCTACCAAAAGGGCACTTCAAGAACTTTACAGTCTGCAGACACATGAATATGGCTCCAATGCCATTCACCAGGGCTGGATTTGAGCATGCGGAGTGTCTTTCAACAATCAATTTCTATTTAGGCTGCCCATCACACTGAAACTGGGGTGAAAACTTGCTTTCTAAGCAAATTCAGAATGCCATCCAGTTCCCAAGTGTGAGCTAGCACTGGGGGGGAGCGTACACACACTCCCTCCTCCACTGAAGACTTTTTCCTGGCACAGGGGCATCCTAAACTCGCCCCATTTCCTTTCCAGGGTCGTGATCTTTGATCTGTCCCCAAGTTCATGCCTTTTTCTCCATCTGAAGGTTCAGCTACTCTGCAGCAGCAATAGCAATTTATCCCCTTGGTTTCTTGACACTTTCCTCTCTCCTCCTGGCTGTGAATCTGTTTTGATCTCAACAGGGTTGTCTGTATGGGGATCCTGCAAGTTAATGATGTGGCTAGCTGGCAGGGATGGTAGGTGAGAGCACACAATGTACTTTTTCCAGTTATGTTTCGCCTCACCATAGCTAATAGTGGCCTTTCTAAAGGCCTGCTACACTAAAAGGGAGACCTACACCCCTAAACTTCCCCTCTTCGGGAGCGCCTCTGGAGGCCAGGTGGAAACAGAAAAGACAGCCCGTTCTCCCGTCAAGTATCTGGACTCCGAGGCAAAATATCCCTAGACACTCCACCACCAATGAAGCAAACACACGTACATCTTGCTCAGCAAGGGAGTCAGTCGATCCCCTTCACCCAGGTTTCGGCCGGTTCAGGCTTCGTAGCCTTCACTCTGTCCAGGCTGGTATAAGATGCTGCATTCTCCCGGCTGTACACCGCCGCCGCCACCCCCCACCCAAGGAAAGGGCTTCCAACGGAGGTGGGAGCATCAGCTCCGGTACCCGCCCTTCCCTCTCGATCCTGGCCAGAAAAACTCCACTTCCCGGATTCCCGGCCACTCTCTCCCGCCCCCTCCCCGGGCGATCCAGCTATAGCGCCGTCCTGATGCCAGCGAAGTGCCCAGCCCAGCTGCGCACCCCCCGAACCCCAACGCAGGCCCCCGGAACAGGCCCCGGCTTCCTCCCTCTCCCTCTGCCTAGGGCTCCCGGGCTCTGCACGCACCCCTCAAGCAAACTAGGACTGAAAAAAGTCCCACCCCGCCTCCCCAGCCACGCCGCTGGCCTCCAGCTCCGCCCGGGAGGGGCCTCCTCCCCAGAGGCGACAAGGAAACGCGGGTGGTGGTTCCAGCAGCCTCCTCCCGCACCCCGCGAGGGGCCTGGACCCCGGGGAGGGCAGACCCGCGCGGCCCCGAAGGGACACCTCCCTCTCCCCCACCCTCTGGGGCCGGCGGGTCTTGGCAGGGAGCGTGCTCTCTGCGGGTCCTCGGGAGCCTCGGGGAGCCCGGGGGCCGCCCGGGTCTGGGCGCAGCGTCTCCCGGGGGCGGGCGGAGGTCGGCGCTGCGGAGCGCCCCTGGGGGACACTCACGATGGTCACGCTGGCTTTGCGCAGGTCGCGGTTCTCCTCCTGCAGCGCCTTGCACTTGAGTTTGTAGGTCTCCAGCTCGATCTTGAGCACCTTATTCTCCTGCTGCAGCGAGGCCAGGCGGTTGGTGAGCTCCTCCAGGCGGAACGGCGAGATGACAATGCCCCCCGACTTCCCACCTCCGCCGCCTCCCCCGCCGCCACCGCCGCCGCCGGCGCCCGAAGTCGACGAGCAAGACGACTGCATGGCGGCCGAGCTGCCGCTGCTGCCCCCCGCCCCGTCCGTGTCGCTCTCGCTGGCGCTGTCCGCCATGGCCGCGGCGGGCTGGGGAGACGAGGAGGAGGAGGAGCAGGGAGGCGGCGGCGGCGAAGGCTGGGCTGCGAATGAGTGGGCGCCGGGCGAGCACAGGGGAGCGCCGAGCTGGGAGCCTGGCAGCAGGGCGCAGACTCGGAGTGGCTGCGAGAGAAAGAGAGGGAGCTTCCCGCTGCCAAGGGACCTCCTCTGCCAGCGAACAGAGACCCCGCCCGGGCTCGGGCAGTATTGCACTGGGGCTCGCTCCAGCCGGGCCTGGCGCGCTCGCTAGGCCGCCCTGCAAAGCCGGCCGAAAGCTCCGAGACCCGCCCCCCGCCGCCGCCGCCGCCGCCGCCGCCGCCGCCGCAGCCGCCCTCCTCCTGGCGTGCGCCGGCCGGCTGGGGAAGCGCGGGCCCGGCCGGGGCGGGAAGGCCAGGCCAGCCTACGCGCCAGCCGCTCGCCCGCCACAAGTGTTCCGAGGGTGGGCCTCCCAGCCCCCTGGCCTAAGCCCGAGGCCGCCCATTCTCTTCCGGGCTCAGGCCAGCTCCTGGGAGAAGGAAACCTAACGCCCCACTAGCCTCGCAGGTGCTGGGGACACGTGGAAAGGTCAGCCCGGCTCTGGCATCCAGCCCCGGCCGAGCCCGTGGCCCCATCTTCCGCCGACAGTGTGTGCTCCTGTCTCCCTCTGTCTGTTTCAGACATACACGCAACCCTTTTAGTTTGATCTCCGTGAGCTTGCCTGGGAAGCTTCGGATAGCGCTCACAGAACAGAAAGTTACCCTGCAAGGAGCCGAGTAGGGCGAGGCGACAGCAGCCACAGGTTAACCTCGTTAAGAAAAAATTTGCAGAAGAGACACGCCGCCCTCTCTACTCCTCCTCCTAATCTGGTAAACCACACTGCGCGCAATTGTTTAAACAAGGTGCAACTTTTTTCTCTCTCTGCATCTTGCAGACAATGCCAGGACCTGTAGCGCAATAGGATTAAGACAGTAACATTTATCTAATCCCAAAAGAAAAAAAGAGAAACACTTTCTGTGGATTAAAACATCTTTTTTAAGTGCCAATTTTCCAAAGTAACTGCAGACAGAGCATTCGGCTATACTAATAGTGGTGACTAAGTGGGCATACAACATAACCATCATTCTTCTTTACGATCATTTAGCCCACTTCTAGGAAAGTTTAGTAGGTCAAAAATAAAACAGAGTAATTATGCTACTGTGGTCTAATTCAGGGTTCTAGTTTTGAAAAGCATAAGAAATTCAAAATCAAAAGTTGTATTTCCCCTCTCCCCTCCCAAACAAAGGCTTACAGGAAATTGGCCCAGCAGGTGAGATGATTCTAAACAGTTTACACGGTTGACACAAAACAGCTTTCACTTATGTATAAAAATCAGAAAATGAAACTGACCAGACTAGTTTTATTATCCAAGCTTAGCCAACGGAAGAACAAACACATGGAAACAAAAAATAGGAAAAAATAAAGTGTAAAATTTTTTCTATTGCTTTGAACTCTGGGGAAAGTTTATAAAGTGTTAGGAAGAATAAAGAAGTGGCTTTAATGATTTTTATTCCAACTCCTCCATTATCTTTAAACCTAAACTTGACTTAATGATTACACTGTTATTCAATGGCTAATGAAAACTGGTACCCGGGAGTAAACTGAAACCTCCAAGTGTTCCAAATGACATCGTCTTTTACCAAGATGGCTGCTTCTAGCAGACAGCTCCAAAATGCCAACAGCAATTAAGCCCCAAATTTCTCCTAATTATTTTTTAGTTTAGTACTAGAGGACTTCTGGACTTAGTCACTGTTGCTGTAGCAGGAACAAAAAGAAAACTAGAGAGCTGGCTTTACTCTTCAGAAGCATACAACCAATGTAAATAATTCTGTTAGAAGTGATCCAGTTTAATTTTCACTGAAACTGACTCCTCTCGCTGACTTTTCCTTTTGGGGATCTGCTACATGAGACAAGCAGCTCGTTAAATTGGAAACGGCTTCTGGAAAACTCACTTGCTGGGTGAAATGGAGGAGCAATGCTAGCAGGGAGCAGTGCCACAAGGCGAAACTCAGACTTAACAGCATTCTTTCCACTTTATCCAGCACCGTGATAGAATCTTAAGAGCCAGTCTGGCTTCCATACTTCACAAGTTTCCATTGTTCCCTATCCCACAGTATCTTAAAGCTTCCACTTTTCAAGCTTACTTAGAAACATTCCTTCCAGGCAAAGCAGGGGGCAAGCTGGCTCTCAGCTTTATCACCAACTGCCTCAGAAAGAGGACCTACTGCTACAAGTCAGCAGAGGGGTGGGGTTTAAAGTGCCTGACTTTCTTAAAGGGCCCACGGTTATGGTAACTTAAAATGGATTGGTCTTGAACAGGATCTGGAGGAAAACAGCATCCTGACCTGGTACTCACAGGCAGTAACTGTGTTTAGAAGACTTTAGGGAGAAAGCCATCTTCTAAAGCTTCCCTGCTGATACAGATGGGAATAAACTGGAGAATATTTTTTCACTGTGGTTTTTTATTGTTACTGCAAAGCAGAAGTGTGTCTAATTTTCTACTTATAAAAGTGGTTCCCCTTATAAACAGACCATTTATCACAACATTGGTTCAGTAATAGCATTACAATGAAAACACTAGTTACAAAACCAATAATATCGTTATACAACTTCTTCCCAGCTTTCCAGGGGAAATGAATCAGAAGACTAAATGGTAGTCTGTGTTGCCTGGAGGAAGAAGAGACAAATGTAGATCGTCACTTCCATTGGAGAAATAACAAAATTTTCTTTTGTCCTAAATTCAAGCTGCAAAAATATGACAACAAAGATAAAGAATACCTAGAGTCTAGTTACAAAGCACAACATCGAAATCTGTCTGAGTCCATTTGTGCAGCTGATTTACTCCATGGCCTTGGAACTTTCAATAATAAAGTTAAAATAAGGGCATAAATCATAGGCGATTTTTGTTGTTTAATTTTTAGTGGCTCTAAATAAATTGCTGTACGTATCTAATTACATTAGTGTGAGATACAAGTGATTTCATTCAAACTCTGAAAGGATTTAGTGGTTGCAGAACCCACCATTGCAGTTTTAAAAAGAATTGGAGTAAGCCAAGTATGAGATGGTTATCACAGATTATCAGAATTCGGATAGAATCGTAGAATGAGCCACTGGGGTGCTATCTTTTCTTGAAAGGTAATTGATAGTGTTTACTTAAATATATCTTGATTTAGAGGCTAAGTCTAGTCCCTAAGTCTGGTACAGAATTTCTCACCCTTAGCACTATTAACACTTGGAGCCAGAAAATTCTTTTTTTTTTTTTTTAATTGAAGTATAGTTGATTTACAATGTCATGTTACTTTCAGGTATACAGCAAAGTGATTCAGTTTTATATATATATATATATATATATATATATATATATTTTTTCTTATTCTTTTCCCATATGGGTTATTACAAAATACTGAGTGTAGTTCCCTGTGCTATTGCTCTACAGTAGGTCCTTGTTTGTTAACTATTTTACATATACTAACGTGTATATGTTAATCCCATCCTCCTAATTTCTCCCTCCCCACCTTCCCCTTGAGTTACCATAAATTTGTTTCCTATGTCTGTGGGTCTATTTCTGTTTTGTAAATAAGTTCATTTGTATCTTTTTTTTTTTCAGATTCTACATATAAGTGATATCATATGATATTTGTCTTTTTCCATCTGGCTTACTTCACTTAGTATGATAATCTCTAGGTCCATTGGAAAATTCTTCACTGGGGGCATGGATAGAGGGGCTGTCCCGTGCATTGTAAGACGTTTACCAGCATTCCCAGCCTCTACCCACTAGACACCAATAGCGTGCCAACCAAGTGTCTCCAGAAGTTGCAAAATTGCCCAAGGTTGAGAACCACTGATCTAGTAGAACAATTACTTTTGCAGGGCAAAAGCAGGCCCACTTTGGAGTGGCTCTTCAGGCAAAATATTGATAACATACCAGTGAGCCATTAAGAGAGGCTCCCTCTCATATCAGATTCCCAGTGTCTGGGAATTCCCTGGTGGTCCAGTGGTTAGGACTCTGTGCTCTCACTGCCGAGGGCCCAGGTTCAGTTCCTGGTTGGGGAACTAAGATCCCACAAGCCGCATGGCACTACAGAAAAAAAAAAAAAAAAAAAAACACGAACCAATTCCCAGTGTCAACTAGCCAGGAGATCCTGGACCCAAACAGTCACATCCACACTTACACTTCTTACTATTGTTTGTCTTCAATCACCCATTTCTTTTAACATGCCTTTTCAATATTTACACTTATTAACATTTAACTACCCTTACATATGCAGTATCCAACCCAGGCAAGAGATAAAACCTACAAGATTAATTACATATCTCATCTCTACCCTCACACTTGTGTTTACTCATTATTTGTTTACAGGAATCAAAACCATTTCTACCAACAGCAGTCTAAAGAACTGTCATCAGTAAATCAAGTGAGAATCAAGATTTTCAACAAAAAATGAAATATATGACTTACATGTCTGAAAATCTGGCAGTCTGAAAAACCTAAAACATATCTTGACACAGATCATACAGAACTGCTGAGCAGGAAATGCTTTTTAAATCCTACTAAATACACAGCAGAGCTTGAAAGAAAGAAAGGGAAATCCCAGGCTCCAAAAGCAAAGAGGAAAGCTGGAAACAAACCAAATGTCCACCTACAATATAAATCCTGTTATATTCATGCAGTGAAATAATATACAACAATGAGAATAAACATACTACAACTCCAAGAAACAATATGAGTGAACCTCAGAAATACAATGATAAGCAAAGGAAGCCAGATTCAAAAGAATGTATGCTGTGTGATTGCATTTATATAAAGTTCAAACGTAGGCAAAATTAATCTATGATGCTAGAAGTCAGAATAATGATTCTTCTTGGGAGGAAATAGTGTTTGGAAAGGATATTAGGAGATTTCTGGTAATGTTCTTTTTCTTTATCTGGGTACATGTTACATAGGTATGTTCACTTGTGAAAAGATATTGTTATATATTTATAATCTGTGCTTTTCTATATGTATGTTATACTTCAATAAAATGTATGAATCAAAAAGGGAAGGGGCAGCGCACTAGAAACCAGAGCAGTAACCTGGTAGCTGAAACAGGAGCAGTAGACTTGTGGGTCTTCCTAACCATGACATTTGAGTTTAATGCCCACCAGGGACAGGACTTTGAGGCCTTGGGGCCATATAAGGCAGGAAGATGTATCTAAGATACCTACAAAATACCAGCCTGTCAAAGAGCTACACCATACTGAAAGGCTGGAT